TGGTCACGCTTGCAAGTTTCCGCTCCTCGTCGTCGCCATTTTGACGACAGACGAATTTCGTTGACAATGGAAGCGTGTGGTAATCTTGCTATCGAGTTATTTGATCGGCGAGGCCGTTATAGGGTCAGCTAATTATGACCGATGGGGCTACTGACCGCGCGATCGATCGCATAACGTTCTCTCTTGTTGAGGTCCGCGCGTGCCGGACCAAAGCAGAGGCATGATTCACGGTTTCCGCCGCAATGAAACTGTTCGTTCACCGCAGTTCCGTCGGCGTGGTAGCGGTCAACGAGATATCGCTCTGTCGCGGACATCGATCTTTCTGTCACATTTCGCATGGAAACTATACTGTTGAAATGTACACGGTACATTTCACACGACACATCGTTACGTAAGTCGTTTATATTAGAAGACCGATCCATTTCGTTTTTCTGTTTAAACGAAATCTAGTGGCGCTTCATTTCCGTCAATATGGATTAACTTTCTAGATTTCACATTTACTGTTAATCTAGATTTCATTTACTGTTAATCTTTTTCTAATTCTTCGATTGAACAAGATGAAGAATATATTCAATCAAGCTGGTGTATAACATTTTATTATTTTTAACTTACGTCTACGTTATACATATATAAATCAATCATTTCTGATGGCTAGTTTCAAAGTGATCTACATCCATGTTAACGTATGCATTTAGTAAATAATAAATTAAATTTGAGTCAACTCTTATACATTTTTGTAGTTAAATTACTTAACTCTATTGTTTTTAGTTAAATTAACGTCATATCAAATAGAAGCAATGGCGATCAATAGAACTAATTAAAAACTCAAATTGGGTATAATATTACATATTATAAATTTAACAGTGTGTGGAAGAATTGATCATAAATACCGAACTAATAATTCTATTTCCGAACCAATTTTTTGAGTGATTTTTACAAGAATTTAACTTAAAAATACGTCAGATATATATATTTATTGTTTTAATGAAATGTAGTTCTTTAATGAACGCATCTTGCTGTTTTGGGTTAGGTCGATTTGTAATGACATATATTGCCTACGACAAATCATTCATTGTCAGCCAGGTGATAACACTTCTATCTCCTGTTATCAATAAGTTATCGACAATATCGAATAATGGATTCAAATCGGATATATCACGCGACACACGTTTAGATATATATAAAAATCATGTAATAATGATATCTATTGATAGTATCCGATAATATGTATTTAAACAATGATATTATATATCATATAATATATGATATTATACATATAATGATAGTATACAGTATTTCGCATTTTGAAAAAATGGTCTCGAAGAAAGCAATCTTATCCAACGAAACTTTTTTAACTTGCTTATTCAGAAACAATGGAATTCAAGCGGGGAAAAAAGAATTAAGCAGGAGACACAGAATCTTGCATAACGTATAATGTTTAAGAAAATGCATCTTCATTTCCCTTCTTTCCATAAAAGACTACGAGATTAGTCGATTTTCTTATGCCTTACATGTGTTGTGTCTCCTGTCTTAAAAGTTTTCCCGATAATCCGACGCAGAAAATGATCGTTTAAGTTTTAGACCTGCCGTTTTTTTTTAATTTCAAAAATAATTTTGTCACTCATGGCAGGTGGAGACATCCGCTGATAGAGAATACACTCGAAGATCATTCTCAGAAATATCATCTTATTGCGTTGTAGAATAAATGTGTGTCTCAAATGTTAGTACACACCAAGACGAACACGCGTCCCTTAACTTTGTCGCCGCTTGCATCCTTCGGAACAATTAACAATGCCGTGGTTATAAGCACGCATCGCAAGGACGTACGCGTGCTTGCGCTATCGTTCCGCTAGACTCATATTTGCACGTCACTGATAACGTGTTGCCTAATCACCTCCGTGATAACGATCTCTTTTTTGGCGAGAGTTATCGTCACGAAATTTCCATCGAGGATGAAGATTGAATACGCGCCGCACGTCACTCTACATCAGTTGCCTCTAATTGAATCGAGTTGAAATAGATTCAATTAAATTACGTGACTGTACATAAGAGAAAAGTATTTGGTATTTGTGACTATAATTGCGTGGAAAAAAAATTATACTTAGGAGTTATTCATTTTTACGGTTATTACTGCTGTAATGTCGGTATTAATGATTACATTTTTTATTCTCTCATACATTAAAAAATTGTACTATAAATTATGATAATTTTCTGTATTAATATAGAAATATCAAGATGTAAATGGTAATTGAAACATTCCTCTTCAGTAAATGCAATCACAATTATAGTGAAGTTCACTACTTTTGATGTGATAATTAAAAAATTTGTTAAGAAAAAAAACTAAAAATTTTCAAGTGGGGTGTGTGACTACAGGGTGTCCCATTCATCACCGATCGATCTACTTATTGAATAAAACTCAAACGGTTGAAGTAATCTTGGTAATTTTTTTTTTATTTAAAAGTACAAACTTGGGAGTTAATAATGGAATATGATATCTTCCAAATGGCCGCCTCGGCTTTTTTGACAGACCACCAATCTTTTCCCAAAATGTTTCATGACGTTTTCGCACAAACTCGGACCAATTTCACCAATGACACGTTCAATGTTGTCTTTCAGCTGTGGAATTGTCTGTGGATTGTCGGCATAAACCTTCTCTTTGACGTGACCCCAGAGAAAAAAGTCCAAAGGTGTCAAATCGCATGATCTTGGTGGCCAATTGACATCACCTCTTCGAGAAATCACGCGTTGCGGAAATTTTGCTTGCAAAAGTGCCATTGTTCCATTCGCTGTGTGGCAAGAAGCGCCATCTTGCTGAAACCAAATATCAGCCAAGTCAAGACCTTCCAATTGATGCCAGAAATAGCTGATCAACATGTCGCGATATCGTTTCCCATTCACAGGAACCACTTCGCCATCATCATTTTCGAAGAAAAATGGCCCAATCACGCCTTTCGACCAAAAACCGCACCAAACAGTGACTCGCTTTGGATGCATCGGCAGTTGTTCAACCGCTCGTGGATTTTCCGAGCCCCATATGCGACAATTTTGCTTATTCACGTAGCCACTGAGGTGAAAATGCGCCTCGTCGCTGAAGATAATTTTGTCGAAAAAATCATCATCATCTTTTTTCTTCTGCAGCGCCCAATCCACAAATGTGCGACGTTGGAGATGGTCCAATGGTTGAAGTTCTTGGTATAATTGAATCTTATAAGTTTGCAAATGAAGATCTTTTCTCAAAATTCTTTGCAAACTGGTCCTCGAAATGTTCAGTTCCTGAGAACGATGTCGAATTGATGTGCCCGGGGTTTCTCTCACACTTTCAGCAACAGCAGCAACATTTTCACTTGAACGAGCGGTACGGGGACGCGGAGACTTTTTCAGATCTCCAACTGAACCAGTTTCAACAAATCTAGCGACCAAACTTTGCACAGTGCTTTTTGCTGGCACATGATTTCGAGGGAAATGATTACGAAGCTCGCGAATCGTTAGCGCTAAAGATCGTGATTTTTCGTAATACACCTGAATAATTTGCACGCGTTCTTTCACCGTGTACTTTCCCATAATTAATTTCCCATCTGTCTAGATGACATATGTGAAGTTTGAGGTTAATCGGTTTGACGTTTTAAAAACAGCGCGAAATTCAAATCGACCGGTGATGAATGGGACACCCAGTATTATTAATAGCAAAAATTGACTAATTTGCACGGTTAAAATAACTGTAAATATAGTTTATTCCAAAAAACAACTGTATATTAAATTATGATAATTTGTAATTAAATTACAACTATTTTTTCCTCTCAGTGTATCATAATGCGTATCGTTATAAAAGAAAAAAAGGGAGGAATTGAGAGTCCCATCACATCTTAATAAAAATCAATTCTCTTATGGCTCTTTAATAAATCTTCCCTTCTCCATCACGTCTCTTTAAATACATGTTTATCGATCCCTATCTCGACGGAACGCCGCAAAAGTCATAACGTGAATGCAAATCATAACAGGATATTCCATTATATCGGTCGGTGTACTCAATGTGCACAACCGTAAAATTCCCACCGTATAATAACAGTTGTAAAAGCGTTCTCAGAAGGTACGGAGGTTACCAATACGCGTACCTTATCGGGAGAGCTTTTAAGATACGTCATTACACGCATCAATGACGATTCTTCTCTCTCTCCCGCCCACTCTCTCCTTCTCTACTATACTTTACACCACTACGATCGCTCTGATTTCCAGAATTGGAGATAGTCCATTAGATATCGTAAATCGCAATTGAAGAGAATTTTGCCTTGCTGTGAATGGAACTACCGGATGATGTCGCATCCGATACAATTGCCATAAAAATTGGAAGAAATTGCAGTTATTATTGCGAACATATCCAGATTTCATAGTTTCGTTATAATGTGGAAATATCTGTTCTAATAAATGTCGATAACGCGCAATTTTTTCCGAAAATATATTCGTCGGGCTGTCCAATCGATTAGAAACAATATACATCAAACATTAAAAAATATAGATGATAAAACAATTTGCAAATATGAATAATTTGTAAAAATAGAAATTCTCCTTGAAATCCGTCCTCGACAATCGCCAATGCAATTGTCAACGTCATTCAGTCCAAGACGCACTTATACAGACGATAACGTCCAGCAAGTATATGGTATGGCGACCGTATGACGACAATCGTTTCTTTAACTGTTCGAGCCAAATAGAGATCGCCTACGAAAGCCTCTCATCCGAGATGTCTACCTTGCTTTCGAAAGTGAGAGACGGAGCGACGAAGAAGAGGGAAAGATGCAAACTAGTTCAACGAACCTGTTAAAGTCCGTCGTGGAAAACGTGACTCACAGAGCGTGTCAGCACGCGAGGTGTAATGCCGCATAATCCTGTTTTGTAAATTTATTAGACAGTGGTTGGAGTGTCTGTATTGCACTGAAAATTCCGATCGCCAGACAGTTTTACCGTACGACAATGCGCAGAACTTATATCCTTAACTGTTCTTCCGGAGCTGACGGGGAGTCAGCTATTAAATTCTATTATCAATCTCTTTGTCAATAATGTCAAACAATTCCTTTTTCTTTATGTATATATTTGGATTATTCTTTTTAAAATTTATTTATTTTATATATATATATATATACTCAGAATTTTGAACATGTAAATTTCATTTCGCGATCGAAAATAAGATTATTTCTCTTAGTTGATTTATCCTCGTCGGTCTAATACAAATTATAATTGTCAAAATATACTTAATTATTCTTATTAGTTATTCTTTTTTTATATACAAGTTATATTCTATTTTTATACGATTTACTACTTTGTCATTTTGGTTCCTTGAAATTAAGTCTTCTAATTGACATAAATTAAATTAAGTGTCTTTTAATCTAAATTGAGGTCTTACAAACAGCATCGATAACTGTGTTACAGATTTTGGCGTCAACTTCGAAGGATTAACCGTACGCATTCCGTTAAGATTTCCAATGCCGAAAGCATTAAAAAATATTAAGATTAAACGTTAGAATGTAAAGATTATTAAAACAACATTAAAATATTGAGATTAAAATACTCTGATGATCTGCAAAATGTAGTACTAATAATTTCAAAAATCCGAAATCTTTGATGATTAATGGATGGATTTCTTAGGAATGATCGCTCACCGATCCGTATATTAAGTACGTCATCGATGTAACTATATTTTCTCTCAAGGGTAATTTACGCGAGCATGTCCTTGCGCGCGCACAACACGATGATATTCAATGTAAAATGAGGTAATTATAGGTTTCCAATTAAATTTGAAAGTCTTCTCTAATGTCTTCCCCGATTCGTGAGCGATGAAACGTAACGCTGCGTTACAAAGATTGCACTTTAATTAATGAGAGTAATCAATCGCCCTCGCTTCATGAAAGCGTTTCCTGCATCACGTTCGACGTTGAAGCATTTTAGTCTTGCCATTGAGCCATAAGAAAATGAATCACTTCCCGTTCACGAGACAAAGAAAGGCGGGAGGCAAGGAGACACATTCGCGACACGACCATCACGCGAAGAATCACGAATTCCAGCAATTCTACGGTCGCTCCACATATATATATATATATATATCTGACTTTTCATTTCTTCACAAGATTGACCTTCACAATTTTTATTTTGCAATTCAACACACACTCTCTTATTATCTACAATTACAAAGACTTCTGCACAATCAAGTTAAGTATTTAAACAAATTCTTTAAAAAAGATTCTTCTTGCTTAACTCGATTATACACAAGGTTTTTATTTAATATTTTTTACACACACACACACACACACACACACACAGTATATACGTATGACACTTATGTCGAAGGTAAGAACTCCGAGATGGGGAAATTTCTGACGTCATTAAACTACAAGATACTTGATCGTTATTCACGATTCGAGAGTCAAAGCGGCACGAGACAATCTGGGCTGAATTGAAAGTTTACTTTGAGATCAAATTGAATATGACAGAACATATATTTATACTTAATTCGGAAACTTCAACTTTGGGATTTTCTTCAGGAGAGAAGCTCAGTTTGTGAGTTATCTCCGTGGTTTGATGCATCGTTAAATATATTGTAAGATACTTTAAGGTAAATACCCATAGATAACGTGGCTTCTTTGAACATATTTATACATCAAAGTCTTGATATGAATCCATAATTTTGCAACACGATCACACGAGGACATGATATTATTCCTTTAATATTCTTTGTTTTCAACTAAATTTAAATTCTATTCTTGCATTATGTTTAGACAATTGTAAAGGCATTTTTTATAATAAATAATAATAATTAAATAAAACTCAAAACGAAATTATACCTTTTAATGATAATAATGCGAGTTTTTATCTATTTAATATAATAATACGGTCTCTCTTCGCAGCTTAACATTCCATTTCCCCTCGATATTTCAGAGAAATTTCAATTTCAAAACTCAAAGCTCGAAAAACTGTGATCAACGGCACTGTACCGCGTTCGTTGAATTACATATTAAATATTATCTTCAATTACCATCGTCGTTGAAATTGAAAAAGAATCTCCACTGAAGTCGTCACGCGCGGATAGAGTATCACCTAAGCAATAAGCGAGCAACCTCAACTGCTTCGAATCATGTCGCTGACACAAATGACGCACGTGACACACCGGGGATGATCACCGATCGCTCAATCAACTCTATGTTTAAAGGCAAAACGCCGGGGACTGGAAAACACACGCATACTCGATGTTGCCGGCTTCGTAGCCCGTCGCGGACTGAACGACTGAACGGTGTGAGTCACAGAGTACCGCCGTTAGTCGTACCGGGATGCACACGTTGCTTTTGTAAGAGGCGCAACGCGCCGTGTCCGCGAGATGTGCGTGCTCTATACAGAAAAAATACTTGCCACGAGCAAGCTACGATTACTTGTTTCCAAGTACTTGAAGAAAAAGTTCATTTATCCACGAATCTATCGTAAGTTCAACCAAAGTTGTGCATGGAAATTTATATTCAAAATATATTCTCAATTCAATCAGTTTCATATTTCCATGAAGATTATTAAAACAAATTCGATTTGCTGCTTTCCAGCAAGAGACGATGCAACAACGATCATTTCGTCTTCGTTTACACAGAGACAAGGAGGCAATATATTTTACTCTGTGCTACACATTTTATCATCCACGTCTCTTATTGGAGAACAAATGAAGTCGCTTCTTCAATCAGTTTTACAATATGATATTCTTTAAAAGAACAAATAGATTCTCGTTTTACGTACATAATAATAATTTGTCTGAAACTTCGAATAAACACACTTTAAGATTGTTATCGAGAAAATACTCTTCGTCGAAGACATAAAACCGTTGCTTATAAGGAAGAAAGTAAATTGAGCAATCACTTTTCTTAGCAATAAAAACGATATTTTTTTTCCTCTGTGCGAGGAATCTATATAGGTATTCTCCCGTGTGAGTCGTGTGTATAATTTTAAACGTATTGAATTACGATGAATTTTTTCTGCCTTATATACGAGCCTCTTAGACCGATCGACTTCACTTTATATAAATTTCTTAATTATAGCGCGCGACTAGCTGCATCAATCTTTTCTGCTTTTTATCTTTTCTGCTCTTTTCTGCTCAGTAGATTAATTTGGCCTCCGAGAGAGACTCGCGTGTAGAAGAACGCGCGCCTCTCCACGTCGGATTAAATCGGATTAAGTGAGAGAGGCGTGAGATCTCTATTTACTGGGTTTATTAACTTGTCGCGTTTACTGATTTCATCAGTTAAACGTAGAGGTAACGACGACCGAAAGGGGAAATCGGCATACATCTTAACGTGAAAGTTGACTCGATTATTACTTATTGATGTTTGTACACATGTCGTAGTGACAACCGCCAACGGCCGTTCCGGTATTAGGTCCTAGCAAAACATCAATAACAGGTGGTACCTCACCTTTCACGGGCAGGTGTAGCCCGTAGTAGAAGTACGTAGTCTTCTCTCTCCGTGGGATTGCCAAGCAGCGTTTATAATCCAAGGCCGTTGTTAATTCACTTTCCACGGATAAACTCGTCCCAGTTTCGCGGGACGTTTCGGTCGCCTGATCTTTGCGGCGAGGTTATAGCTTTAAGAAACGAATACCTTTAGAGAGACCCAGTCAGTTAGCTAAAAATCGTTCGCAACTTTGCGCTTTGTCGCGAAATTAATCTCTCTAAAAATCATTGGAGTGAAATCTCACTCTTAAAAATTGACAATTGAGGAATTCCTCTGCAACGCTGGCGCAATCGTCAGTCTTTTAGAAATTAGATTGCACTCTATGGACTTTAGAGAGATATTTTTAGAGACCCAGTCGTTAGCTGCCGCTTAAAAATCATTCGCAATTTTACGCTTCGTCGCGAAAACGACGGATTGGTGTTGCCTGTGAAACATACGTTTGATACGAGGGACGGAGAAACGGCGGTAGACCACACGATTTTTTTCAATCACCACACGATGAATCACAATTATATATCTGCACGTCGCATTATGCGGTCTCATTCGTGATGTTATATTGACGAAATGATATCTTCGCTTTTAAACTGCGCGCGTGACTAAGTAAGGCGTTGTTGCAATTTTTTGTTATCATCTTTGCCGATTAGATTACTCTGTTGTCAACTTTGTGGTATCTCTGTTAATACTGTGTTACTCGTATTTTCAATAAGCATACCGTAGCGTTTAAGCAAAAATCAATTCGTTAATTTCCCGGGAAACGAACCGATGTTACTTGACGTCGTGAAAATAACAACGACGTCAACCTTGTTTCCCGAGTTATACATTTCACGATTGTTTTACAGCAGAGTTTGAAAGTTGAACTGATTATAATTACGGCTACGAAAGTTAATGTGTCATATTTTCTTTTTATCCGCTGGAGGAAGTTCGAATGTAGGAATCTGCAGTTCGATTTGTTGTGGAAAGGAAGCCACAGAACTCTGAATGTTATCCTATTAAATATTTCACTTCGCGCGTTGCAATGAAATGTTTGGTTTATTCATGCATGCGATACAAAATTTCAAGAACTAACAGACCAGGAAAAAAAAAACGCACCCCTCATACCGACTACAACTGTTTGCTACAATTTGCAAGCGTACAAAAAGTGTACATACGAATGGAGATTGTAGAAAGATTATCATCGTTATTTCGTTTTTGATTAGCGCAGAGCTCCATTCTCGTCATCACGTCGGCCGTTTTTAATTAACACTGCATTTACACCCAACATCCACCGTCACATTTGTACACAACGTAGTATTTAGCCCTCTGTTAAATTATTCCTGCAGTCGCGTCCGTACAAAGATACGATTGGAATTCACTTACGTAGCAGCTACAGCGAATAAATTACTCTCTTACCAATTAGTTATCAAATAAATATCTAACGAATGAATCCCGAGAACCTCAACAACTCGACTATTAAAAGTAACGCAGTAGGCTAGATGTACATTTACATGAAGATCCGCACATTTCGGCAGCGATATCAAGTAATTACAATAACAATTGACGTATAGCCGTGTTCAGCATCAAGTACGTACGTACGATCACCGATTTGCGCGCCAGAAAAGTGTTACGAATTTTAACGGGTTAACGAGACAAAACAAATTTGGGATTTTACAGTCGTGCGAAGAACAAGACAGATCACAACGCGCGTTATGTTATGATCAATTTGTAGAAAGGACGAAACGTGGCTTGCAACAATGTCAACTGATGATACCAAAATCTTATTGATAATATGAATATCATAAAAGGGAGATATTTTAACGTTGAATTTTTCACATCTGCGCAACTACATCATACAACGATTTCAAGATATCGTACATATGTATAATAGAATTATATAATCTCAAAAGAACTTCAAGTTTTTTTTTCCTTATTTATTAAAAATTAAACCGAGAAACTATTTACGATCTATTAGCTATCTCGATATAAATGAAATCTTCGACTAATTTCCCAAATTATAGAATCAAGTTAGTATTATTAATTATAACGTCCGATACCGAATCCGTCACCGATGCGCGACTTTATTACGTTATCAACTAGGTCTAAATTATTGAAAACGTATTGTTACTTCTATATCTTTTAGACTCCTGCATATTGCCTGTCTTCAATCTCGTTGCGCAAAGACCATATAATCCACTAACGTTTAACAATTTTAACATTATAGTGAACCTTTCTTCTTCTTATATACAGCTGCGTATCGTTTATAATAACTTAATTTTAACGGGGAAGTTCTGAAAAGTGTATCGCGCAGAGGCTGTGCCACGTATCGACGATCTTGAACACTCACAATATCATTCCGTTCCATTCTTTGCGTCGAACAATTGTCCATATTCTGTTCTTTGGACTTGTCGCATTTTAGACCGGGTGTCTACTTAGTTTTACTCTCCGAAGCGCGGATTAATAATCGAAAAAGTCACGATAGTTACAAGCAGGAGTCCCAGTCTGATTATTTTATACGCTTCTTGAAGAGAGTATTTGAAAATTGAAAGTATTTCTGTCAAGACAAACTCTCGGATATTATATAGTCTTAAGTTTATCATTAGTTCAGTTTTATTATATGAATTTTGCTGTCAAGTGAGTAGCCCTCGGAGAGTATAACGAATGAACATGGCATCGCAAAAAATTTCTTTTGCTTATTTGATGTCCATCGGATAATTTCACTCACAAAAGTTGCTTGTAGAGGATCCATCCAGATTTGGATTAAAAAGTAGCAATTTTTCGCATTTTCATCTAAACGTTACTGTCGAAATTTCTTCTTCTTTTTGTTTTACATTCATTTGCTCGACGAGCGAGTACTCTTAATTAATAACTAGAATTACATTATATTCAATTGACATCCGTTTATTTATACAATTAGCTAGCTTATCGCTTACGACGCTCTTCTTTTCCAACGAAAACTGTCTGACCGTCAAACGAACCGTCAAACGACCTTCTCGTTCGAATTATCATTCGTTTACATTATCCAATTTAAGCGAATTAAATTTTGATTTAAGCTGATCCCAGCTGGCTTATTAGTGAACCGCGGAAGTTCGTAAGGTTCCACGTGCCGGTTCGAAATGCTCGTTTTCCCTAACAGCGCTAATAATAGACTAGAAGGGAGATTTTGCTTATCACTCACTTGGGAAAGATCAAAATCTCACGAACCTCCGTTGCTTTATTAACAGTCGCGTCTCGCACAATTACCACTCTAATTTCTAGAGTCGTCTGTACTCCGTCAACGACATGTTCCCTTTTCATCGACATCGAAAACACCTTCAAGTTGACAAATCTTTCAGAATCAATTTCAAGAATTTTTTTACGAATCTGTATCAATAAGACATGAGCGCAGATTTCGCGGACAGAAGAGCGTCGCTATGCTTCGACACAAAGATCGAGACACAGGAGATTCAGTAATTTACTTAGCTTCTGTTTCATCTTTTTCCTCGCGCCACCCCGTTTTCGTTCAGCTTAGGGCGGATTTCGAGCGAATCGAATGACACGAAAGGGTGTAAGATAGCGTAGGCACTTTTAGGAAAAATGGCTGACAGTATGAGGCTGCGTGTCCACTCGAGAGTTAGAAGTTCTCAAGTGACAACTGTACAGTTCTATGATTAACGGAGATTCTCCTCCCCAGTCAGTTATTTGTACAAAATGGGAAGATAAGACGTTTATTAATCTTTAGAATGTCTTATAATGTGATATCTAAAAGATGTCTTAATAATGTCTTAAGTTCCGATTTTGGACATGGTGCTGTCTAAGTCGAGA